CTTGAATCATGACATGAGTCAATACAGTGTGAGAATACACATGAGTTCAGACTCTTTCACCTGAACAAAGGAAAACAGACAAAGTGAGAAATGGTTTAAAAAGGTGAAGTTTCAAGTGTGAAAGTATTTAAACAGTGTTTGAGTAAATATACAAGTTTCTGCTCAGGATGAAGACATGAGGTCACCTGAGCATGATGTCACATTACCTTGGTGGTGATGTCAGCGATGGTGGTGAAGTAGGCGTTGTAGTCTCTGGTGGTCGGTCCCACCTTGCTCTCCACAAACTGCCTGATCTTCAGCTCCAGCTCGGCGTTGGCCTTCTCCAGGGAGTGCACCTTGGCCAGGTAGGAGGCCAGCCGGTCGTTCAGGTTCTGCATGGTGAACTTCTCGTTGCCGATGAGGCTTTCGTCCATGCCAGACTTGTTGTATCTGCTGGAGGACGAGACGCGGACGCCCGAGCCTCCGGCTCCACCGTACACACTGCCGGCCCTCACAGACGACACCAGCCTGCCGCCTCCGAGGCCCTTTATAGATCCGCCAGAGCCGGACCTGGAGGAGGAGGAGAAGATGCTGGACATCGTGATGAAGGAGGTGCTGTCTGCAGACGACACAGAGCAGAGTGCGGAGCTGCGTCCCTCTCACCTGCTATTTAAACCTGCTGCTGCCAAACAGCCGTCAATCACACAGCAAATACCTCGACGGCAGGTGAGGCAGGAATGTGTGGGAGGCCTGGGTGTGTCGGGGGATGGTCAAGGTAACCTTCACACCTGGGATCATGTGACAGTGTGTGAGGCCTCAGGACGACCTTTACTTTGAAATATCCAGAGCTGGTGAAGCTGTCGCAACAGGAAAGATAATCACGAGGCTTCAAATGTCAGTAACTTCTGGAATGAGATAATTGTGTGATCACAGGAAATGTTAAGGTTAAAGAACAAAGGAGGACGTTTACGTGACTGAAGTCGGGCGACAAACGAAATGTTTCTGTGACGGACAAACATCTGGAACAAAAACCGTCAAACTATAAACTTCCATATTCATGAAACTGTTTATTATTATTAGAATAAGGTCATTGAGGCGTCCACAGTAAAATAATCAAACAGGACTTTATAACTATGGAGGCAACTGTCTGTCCTCTGCCTGTCCATCCTCTGTCTGTCCATCCTCTGTCTGTCCATCCTCTGTCTGTCCATCCTCTGCCTGTCCATCCTCTGTCTGTCCATCCTC